GAGCAAAGTGAGAGAGAGAGAGAAGAAGGGAGAATGAGAGAAGAGAGAGAGAGAGAGAAGAGAGAGGGCGAGAGGAGAGAGAAGAGAGAGACGAGAGAGAGAGAGAGAGACGAGAGAATAGGCGAGGGATTAGGGAAGGGAGAGAGAGAGAGAGAGAGAGAGAGAAGGAGAGAGAGAGAGAAGAGAAGAGAGAGAGAGAGAGAAGAAAGAGAAGCCGAGAGAGAGCGAGAGAGAGAGCACGAGAGAAGAGAGAGAGAGAGGAGAGAGGAAGAAGAGAGAGAAGAGAGAGAGGACGAAGAGATGAAGAAATAGGCGGAAGAGAGATGAGAGAGAGTAAGAAGGCGGAGGTAGAAAAGAGAGAGGAAGAGAGAGAGACGGAGAGAGGAGAAAAGAGAGAGAGATCAGAGCGAGAGGAGAGAGGAGGAGTAGAGAGATGAGAGCAGAGAAAGTGAGCGAGCGAGGAGATAGAGAAGAGATAGAAATGAAGAGAGATGAGATGAAATCATCGGAGAGTGATGAGATGAAAGCGGAGAGGAAACAATAGTCGAGAGAGGTCAGGAGACAGTGGAAGGAGGAGGGAGAGAGAAGAAGAGAGCAGAAACGGAAGAAGAGAGATAGAGAGAGCGAGACGGAGAGAGAGAGAAGGGAGGGAGGGGGGAGAAGAGAGAGATCAAGGAGAGAGAGGAGAAGAGAGGAGAGAGAGGAGAAGAGAGAGGTAGGAGAGAAGAGAGAGAAGAGAGAGAGAGAGGGAGAGAGAAGAATAGAGAAAGAATGCGCGCAAGAGAGAAGAGAGAGAGAGAGAGAGAGAGAGAGAGAGAGAGAAGAGAGAGAGAGAGAGAGAGAGAGAGAGAGAGAGAGAGAGAGAGAGAGAGAGCGAGAGAGAGAGAGAGAGAGAGAGAGAAATAGCGAGAGAGAGAGAGAGAGAGAGAGAGAGAGAGAGAGAGAGCTCTATCCCCTATCGCTTCTGCAACACATTTTAAACACTCTAATGTCCCATTCATTTGTCTGTTCCCATCCTTTTCATCTCACTATTTCGTTTTTAATTGTTCAGAGTCCCCAATATATATATATTATATTTTTTTTCAACTTTTTGTTCTTTTATCTCACTCCCGATCGTTCATGTTTGTTAATATCATTTGATATGCATTTCCATTCTACTATATGACATCCTGTTTATTTATTCTGTTTATTCCTATTCATCATCTTTATCCATTCTCTCTCATGCCGCTTTGTTTACGTCGCTTCACTCCCGCTTCCAGGCCGCCTTGCTCGCCTCCATATTTCATTCGGGCGAAACAATGTTCCCATGAATTTTTCTTTATTTCTGATTGTTTTTGTTCTGTTTTTCTCTTTCTTTTTATTCTGATTGACGTCTATTTTTTTGTCTTTTTTTTTTTTTCTTCTATCTCTCTTTTTATCATTTTTTTTTTATTTCTCTTGTTTCTTTATTTCTTTTTGTCTGTTTCTCTCTCTTGTTGATTTCGATTTTCGATTGGACGTTCGGCCGAAAAAGAAAATTGGCTGTCGTTTTGTCTGCTCGTTTACGTCCTGCTTGGTGCAGGGGCCGGGCAGCAGCAGATGAGCAGTTCAGCAGGAGGCTGGTTCTGCAGGGTAAGCAGGAGAGGCCATTTCAGCAGATCAGTTATGCCTTGGCGGCCCCGAGGCAAGGAAGCAGACAGCTGGCCATGATACAAACTTAGCGACTGGTTCAGCAGAGTCGGTTCAGCAGTTTCAGCAGGATCAGCAGTTTAAGCAGGAAACCCGCAAACACTAGGAAGACAAAACAATCATGCTGTTGATCATACAGTATCAGCATAAATTGGATTCAGTTAGATATAGTCCGGTTCAGTCAGAAATCTGGCTTAATATAGAGATTCGACTGAGAAGGAAGACAAAAGCAGAAAGTTACTTCAGCAGGATGGTCAGATCTAGCAGGAAACCAGTTAAAAAAGAGAGATCGGTTCAAGCAGGAAATCTATGCATTAGGCAGGCAGCAGAGAGACCATATAAAAGATAAATGGTTCAGCAGGAGGGACCATTTCAGTATAAGAGACTATTTCAGCAAGAGGGGCCAGTTCATGACCAGGAGGGTCAGTTTCGCAGAGAGGGTCGCCAGTTCAGCAGGAGGGTCAGTTCAGCAGGAGGGAACAGTTCAGCTTAGGAGGGTCCATTCAGCAGCGAGGACCAGTTCAGCAACAGCAGACAGTTCAGCAGTGAGAACCGATTCAGGCAGGAGAGACCATTTCAGCAAGGAGAGAAGTGACAGTTCAGCAGGAGAGACCAGTGTCAAAGCTAGGAGAGACAGTTCAGAAAAAGGAGGGACCAGTTCAGCAGGAGAGACCAGTTCAGCAGCAGAGACCAGTTCAGCAACGAGACCATTTCAGCAGGAAGACCAGTTCAGGCAGGAGGCTCAGTTCAGCAGAGAAGACAGTTCAGCAGGAGAGACCAGGGTTCAGCAGCAGAGAATACCAGTTCCAGCAGGAGGGACCAGTTCAGCAGGAGGGACAGTTCAGCAAGGAGAGACCAGGTCGAAAGCAGGAGAGACCATTTAGCAGCAGAGACACAGTTCAGCGGAGGAGAGACAGTTCAGCAGACAGCCAGAGACCAGTATCAGGACAGGAGAGAGACGCCGATGTTCAGCAGGAGAGACCAGGTTCAGCAGCAGAGTCCGAAGTTCAGGCAGCAGAGAACCAGTTCAGCAGGAGGGAGAGACGACAGTTCAGCAGGAGAGACCAGGTCAGCAGCAAGAGACCGTTCAGCAGGCAGAGACAGTTCAGCAGGAGAGACCAGTTCAGCAGGAGAGACCATTTCAGCAACAGAGACCAGTTCAGCAGCAGAGACCAGTTCAGCAGGGAGAGACGCATTCAGCAGCAGAGGCCAGTTCAGCAACTGAGACCAGGTTCAGGCACATTCAGCAGGAGGGACCATTTCAGCAGGAGAGACCAGTTTCAGCGAGAGACAGTTCAGCAGGAGAGAACAGTTTCAGCAGGAGAGACGCAGGTTCAGCAGGAGAGACCAGTTCAGCAGGAGAGACCAGTTCAGCAGGAGGGACCAGTTCAGCAGGAGGGAGAGTTCAGCAGGAGCAGACCAGTTCAGCAGAAGGGACCAGTTCAGCAGGAGGGACCAGTTCAGCAGGAGAGACCAATTCAGCAGGAGGGACCAGTTCAGCAGGAGAGACCATTTCAGCAGGAGGGACCAGTTCAGCAGGAGAGACCAGTTCAGCAAGAGAGCAGTTCAGGCAGGAGAGACCAGTTCCAGGAGAGACGCAGTTCAGCAGGAGAGACCAGTTCAGCAGGAGAGACCAGTTCAGCAGAGAGACAACAGGAGAGGGACAGTCCAGCAGGAGGGACCCAGTTCAGCAGGAGAGACCAAGTTCCGCAGGAAGGGACCAGTTCAGCAGGAGAGACCAGTTCAGCAGGAGAAGACCAGTTCAGCCAGGAGAGACCAGTTCAGCAGGAGAGACCAGTTCAGCAGGAGAGACCAGTTCAGCAGGAGAGACCAGTTCCAGGCAGGAGAGACCAGTTCAGCAGCAGAGAGACCAGGTTTCAGCAAGAGAGACCAGTTCAGAATGAGACCATTTCAGCAGGAGAGACCAGTTCAGCAGGAGAGACCATTGCAGTTCAGGCAAAGAGACCAATTCAGCGAGAGACCATTCAGCAGGAGAGACCAGTTCAGCAGAGAGACCAGTTTCAGCAGAGACCCATCAGAAGAGACCATTTCAGCAGGAGAGACCAGTTCAGCAGGAGAGACCAGTTCAGCAGTTCAGCAACAGAGACCATTTCAGCAGCAGAGACCAGTTCAGCAGGAGAGACCAGTTCAGCAGGAGAGACCAGTTCAGCAGGAGAGACCAGTTCAGAATGAGACCAGTTCAGCAGCAGAGACCATTTCAGCAAGAGTCTACTTCAGCAGGAGAGACCAGTTTCAGAGCAAGAGAGACCAGTTCAGCAGCAGAGACCAGTTCAGCAGGAGAGACCAGTTCAGCAGGAGAGACCGGATCACACTCGGAAGCACGAGCCATTATTGGGAATTCGAATCCGAAACACTCTGAGTGGCTGCCTTTTTTGTAGATTCATTTTCATTTTCATTTTCATTTTTTTCTTTTTTTTTTTTTTTTTTTTTTTTTTGACGTGGGAGCACATTTTTTTTTTTTTTTTTTTTTTTTTTTATCGTCACAATCACAGGATATTGCTTTCATATGTTCGGAATTTAGCGAGATTTCGAAAAAGAGAAAAATAATTGGAGAGAGAGAGAGAGGGAGAGGGGAGCAGGGGGATGAGAGAGAGAGAAAGAGAGAGAGGGAGGGAGAGGGGGAATGAGAGAGAGAGAGAGAGAGAGAGAGAGAGAGAGAGAGAGAGAGAGAGAGAGAGAGAGAGAGAGAGAGATGAGAGAGAGAGAAGAGAGAGGAGAGAGGGGAGGGAGGGAGAATGAGAGAGAGAGAGTATGAGCGCGTGTGTATCGGTTTGTGTGTGTGTGTGTGTCCGTGTGACGTGTGTGTGCGTGCGTGTCCATGTGTATGTGCGTGTGTGTGTGTGTGCTTTTATTCGTATATCAATCCACCGGATATTTTGGACGGAAGTGCATCTGTTTGCAAGGATAATAAGCAACTGTTCACTTGATTTAATCCCTTATCACTTATACCCAACACCTTATATGTAAACATGATGAAGTATGTTTCCCTTATCACTTATACCTAACCACATAAGTGTAAACATGATGAAGTGTGTTTTTACACCTGTGACTTTAACTTGATATAAACATGTTTGATATTTACTGACTTACGTAAGGAGTTCATAAGATATTTAAGTCTATTTACTGCTGAGAGTTTCCCTCCCTGAGTACATTTGAACTTAGCACTTGGGAACTTAGGAGAAATTCTGTTGAAGTTATTAAGTTACTAGCAATGAGAAGGGGGAGAAACATTATGTCTTAAATGTCTGTTTGTCTGTTTGTCTTTCTATCTGTTTGTCTACCTGTCCAACTATATATCTATTTGTCTGGCTACCTATCTATTTATTTACTTATTTGTTTACAAATGTATATATATATATATATATATATATATATATATATATATATATATATATAATATAATATATTATATATATTTATCGTATATCTGATTATCTATATATCCATCCATGTCTATCTACCTCTTTAAATAACTATCTATCAATTACAGTGTAAAATTAAGAATCCAAAGTCTAATTGCATATTTTCTTTTCTTTCGTTCCGCAGATCAGTTTGTAAGAAGAGAGAGAAAAAAAAACAAAGACAAAAAATCGAATTCGCAAAATGAAGATGATCAGCTGAGAACGAAGCCCCTGGGGGATCCCTCCCTCCCCCCTCCCCCTTATAGATATAACAGAACCAGCCATAAAAAAAGTAAATATATAAATAAAGAAAAGAGATAGATAAAAAAAATCGAAAAAAGGACCAGAAAAACCACAGATTTCCAGCCCCTTCACCACACCGCCCCGACATGTTCCCCCGCCGACTCGAACGACAGCTCCCTACCCGCCTTCCCCGCACGGCCGCCCATCTGGGAGTCCCCGACGCCCCCAACTGCAGCGTGGAGGACTCCTTCGGACGACGGGGGCGGCGGCGGCGGCGACGACGCGGAGTCCTGTGGCGAGATGAAGATCCTGGGTCGTACATTTTCCACCAGCCGGAGGTGAAGGTGCCGCTTCTTCTGCTCTACACGGCGGTCTTCATCTTCGCCTTTCTGGGTAAGTGAAAGCTGGGATGGAGGGAAGGGAAGGGAAAGGAAGGAACGGAGGAAGTGTGGTAGGAGGGAAGGGAGGGAGGGAGGAATGGAAGGTGGTGAGGAAGGGAGGAGGGAAGGAAGGGAGGGAGGGAGGGAGGAGAGAGGGAGGAAGGGTGGGTGGGAGGAGATGTGGGAAGGGAGAGGGGAGGGAGGAGGAGGAGGGAGGAGGGAGGGAGGAAGGGAGGGGGAGGGAGGATGGAGGAGAGAGAGGGGAGGGTGGGTGGGAAGTAGAGAAGGAAGGGAGGAAGGGGAGAAGGAGGGAGAGGAAAAGGGAGGTTGGAGGAAGAAGGAAGCGAGGAGAAGGAGGAGAGGGAAGAGAATGGAAAGGGAAGGAGAGGGGAAAATGGGGGAGGGAGGGAGGGAGGGAAAGGAGGAGACATAGAACGAGAGGAGAGGGAAGGCGAAAGGAGGGAGAGGAAAAAAGAGGGAGAGATGAATGGATGGAGAAAGGAAAACATCGAAAGGGGAGAGTGGAGAGGGGAATGGGAGAGTAAAGGAAAGGAGAGAGGAAAGTACGAAAGAGGGAAGGAGTAGGGAATGAGGACGGGAGGAATGAAAGAGGGAGAGGAGGAGGGGCCGAGAACGTCGGTAAACTTG